CCCCCCCATCTCCCACCCCCCACATCCCCATGCTGCCGATGGAGACGGAGAGCAGGCAGACAGACCGGCTCGTCGGTGGAGTAGGCGGGAGGCAAACAAACAAACAAGCGTGGCCCCAGCCCTTTAAGCGCCTGACGGCGCCCCCCGCTGTCCCGTCGCGACACGTCTCTACAAATTAGCGGCCGGCCATGAAACCTCCCTCTTATCCCATTATGCCGTTTGGCCGCCCTGCTCAGCGAGCATTGTGCTTCTCCCCCCTGACGCACGGACAGCCAGCCGTAATTACGCCCCCTGGTGGAGCAGCTGCTGCACTCTTAGCCAGCTCCGGATGCCTCACACATAATTACAGCTATTAGCAAACACACAGAGATTGGTCATTGGTACGATTACCAAATTTATACTCAGTTTCGTCCCTGAAGGAATAGTATCTTGAACTGAGAAAAAAAACAAAAAAACAACACGTTTGGTTTTTAATTAAAACTGGAATAATTATTCTGCATTACTATCCGTTTTACCCTGTTTCTGGGATTCTGGATTCAGTATTTCCTGTTCTGTAGGTGACTGATTTCATCTTTTCATTTATGACCTGATAAATTCTGGCCCGCCTAAAATGAAATGTATATCTGTTTAGAGTAAAATGGCTGGCTGGTAGAGGTTAGCATGTGTGCGTCCACTTATCTGGGTGTACTATGCATCCTCACCACCCCCAGTGAGGGGGAGTGCGACACAGGCACGGTGCTGAATCGCTAACAGGTTTCGCTGCAGCCAGACTTGCGGGCATCCCACTTTAATCAGCACACCTGGAGGGTAATTAACGCTCAGGCACTGGGGTGGGCAGCTGCAGCAGGTTTAATGGGGTCCTCTTTGTTTGGGCTGACCGGGGCAGCCGCTCGTCAGACCCTTTCAGAATTGTTTACTGTCAGGCTGCGCTTGTTTCTCCTGGCTGTTTGCCGGCATGGCGGCCTTGGATCAAACAGGACCACCCTGTCAGAATCTGCTTTGTGTTGGATGCGTAGGTGTCCTCAACGGTAGCCCACCTGCTGCTGGCCATGGGTGCCATTCTTCTGAAGAGTTGTTTGGGAGGAATCTCAGCAACCTGAGATGCAAAGGGAGTGTTTCATAACAAGTGGACCAAAGGGTCCTTTTGTAGAAAAGAGAAACTTCTGGTCTGAAAGAGAATCTGCTTGAGGTTTTGCATTTTGACAAATGATTCCATCCAATGAAATTCCCAGACCTAGAAAACGTCCCACGGCACCCATATCCTCGGTTACATTCATATACTAAACTTCAGTGAATTAGCTTTCATGACAGTCTTAAACAGTTCCTGAACCTTGAAATAAAAATAGTTCTAGAATTAGCGGAATTTCAGTCTGGTTACTGAGCGACTGTGCCGGGAAAGGAGAACCGGGTCTGTGTTTACAGCGCCTCCGTTTGGCAGGAGTTCTGGAGATTGGTGCGCTTGTCGGTGCAGCCATGAGGCGGTGGGAGAGCTGCACGCGCGCACTCCGTGCAGCGGAGCTCACAAATCTGAAGCGGCAGCAGCGAGGGCAGGCCAGAGGTACATCTTAAAGCTGCAGTAGCAAAGCGTTTCTCTCTCTCTCTCTCTCCTGCCTATTCCTTGTGGCCATTTGGAAAAAAAACACGGCTTCCGCACTGCCGATCTCTGCATCGCATCATCTTCATGTTCAGTTTTGCAGTGGGATGCATCTTATTGGATTTTTAGTGTCGGAAACACTGTATTAGCAATACTTCTTCT